CTTATATATTAATTCGACATTTCTGTCCATGCAAACGAATTGGAAAACAAAAACCGAATATATCAACAGATCCTCGTTCAAAACCAAAGATTCAAAGTCAAAAAAATATTAAACGTCACGGTTATTTATGGCATGATGAAATGCTTTTATGAATTATTTTAAAAAACTTACTTTTTTGTTTTTTTTCTCGAGTTACATAAGTCATTGTTAATGGTGATGATATTTTTCCATCGACATTTATTATTGCTTGTCTTGTTATTGTTAATAAACGTATATTAGATTTTAATGATGATTTTATTGTTCTAATTCCTTCTTTTTTTTCTTTTTGATTATCATTATTATTTCCAATTATAGTCCAATAATCAACTGTTATATCATATGGTGAAGTTGATTCATCTATATGAGAAGTTTTTATTAAACTATTTGTAATTTTTGATTGAGGGGATGTTGACATTAGTTGTGTAGGTTCATCATCTGATGAATCTTTTGAATCACGATATGGATTTGCTGATAATGACAAAGATAGAGATTTTGATAGAAGAATATTATCATCAATAGATGACATTTGAGTTTCATTTGATGTTGATGATAATGTACCAAGACGAACATACTAGAAAATGATATTATTTAGATAAGATAAGAAATAAATAAATAATATTTACACAAAAAAATGGTAGAAATGTTGGTGATGAATCTTCATCCGGTCTAAAAGAAAATCAATGTTAATAAAATAAATTTATTCAGAATAATAAATAAAAAAATATCAATAGGATTTTTTACAGTTTATTAATTATTTAATTATGTTAATAAATACTTTACCATGAAAACAATGGTACAAAGAATTCATTCTAGTGTGAAGTAAAAAAACAATGAATGACAACTAATGAAGTTTTTCTTCCCGAGAGAGAGCTCAGTGAGTGGAAGTTTCATCTCTTAACCCACACTTTCGTGTTATCTTTTTAATAATAATAAAAAAACTTACAAGCGTCCTTTACGATTGAGCATAACTTCACCAACAGGTAAGGCAAGTGTACGTTGAGATGTTTTTAAATATCGTGTAATCTTCTGTGATAATTCTCTTATATCTAAATATGTGAATAAAGAAAAAGAAATTAAACAAAATTCTATTGTTTTTTCCTTTTACCAATTAATTCACTTGATAATTCCATTGCACTAAATAAGGATTCATATTGTGAATCTAAACTTCCAAGAAATTTTCCCAAATATGAAAAAGCTATAAAGAGAAATAGATGATAAGAAAAATTTGAATAAAATAATATAAATCTATTTGAATTACTTAATGGAATAAAATAAAAACGAAAATAATTCATATACTCATGTGGTCTTGATGCTAAACATTCGACATAGGATTGAAGAAATGAATTTGCAAATGCATCATCACCAAGTAAGGCAATACGTATGACTGAGATTTGTTTCGATTGACTCGTACTAATCAAAATAAAACAAAGTTGATTCTTTATAAAATCAAAAATAAATATCGAAAAAAAAACCTTTTTTGTATACGTTGAATGAAATTATTCAAAACAACTTTTGCATCGATTAAAGTTGAAAGTGAAATAACTGACAGATTATATTCTTTTAATTTCGATGCAGTAATCTATTAAGAATAGTTTAATTTATTTTAAATCAAGGTATACTACATACATTAGATTGATTAATTCCTGTATAAAGAAATATAACAGTTTCAGGAAGACGATCATTTGTATAAAGTTCATCAAGTTGTTTGACAATACTCTAAATAATTAAAATTAAGATTCGAAATAAAATTGAAAAAAGAAACAAACCGTTGTAGCTGGACGTGATGGTTTTTCTTCTAATATAGGTACTTGTATGGATGGTGGAATATTCATTCGTTCTGTATCTAATCCCAAATCAGATGATTCAGAATCCTTATTAAATAAATAATTATGAAATATCTCTTCTTATTAAAAAAAAACTTACTAATGGACTATCATTACTATCAAATGGATTTGTTGATTTTCTTGGTGTATAAGGATCATCTTCCGACTAATAATAAATAAATGAATATATACATTTATTTTTATTTGTTATATAACTTACAAATTTAAGGACTTGTAAATGTTCAACAGGTGTAAAACCTGGTTTAGGTACAGATTCAATACTCCATTGATCAACTGGTATAGTACTATCACTTATATCAGATGGTGGATCTTCTTCAAAATCTGATTGATGATCAACTATAAATCTATCATGTTGATGAGATAAATTCGTTGGATTTGTTGTTATTGGATTTGTATTTCTATTTGGAGTATTTGTTGATTGATTTGGTTTTCTTTTAAATATTTTTATAATTTTATTTCGTATCATATTTGGATTAAATTTTTGTTGTTTATTTTTTAAATTAAATTCAACATCACTATCTTCTAATTCAGAATTTAATTCTTCTTCTTCAATATATTCATCATCATCATTGAATGATTTATCTATAGATATAATAATAAGAAAAAAAATTAAAATATTCATATTTTTATTTTACCAAAATCTGTTGTACGATGATGCTCATGTCGTTTTGTTGTTAATCCAAATTTTGGACGTGTTGCTGTTGTTGTTGATGTATCGGTTGATTCAGTTGGAATTGTACTTGATAATGATACAATAGATACATATCCAACAGGACGTTTATGAATATCTTCATTTGTTCCAATTGATTGTTCTTCATGCATTGTTGAACGTATATTTTGCTTGACTTTTTCATTTGTATTTGAATATAAATGTAAATCAAGACTTTGCGGGCGTTGAATGACCTATATGAGAACATTTGAAGTTTCTATTGATTTCTTTCATGTTATTATCAATTAAAAACAAGTCAGTCTCTCATGAGACTACTGTCTGACGTTGTAAACAAGAAATGAATGAATTCTTTTTCTAGGAAATCAAATTATGTTATGCTTTTGGAATATCAAAAATCAATGTTCTCAAATCTATCACTTATTTGTTTTTGTTCGGCTGATCAAAGTTTCTTTTTTTTGTTGCATTCATAAAATTTAACTCGAAGTATTTTATATATGAATGAATACATGTTTGCCTAAAGCTGCCGACATCTCATTGAAAGGAAATTGGTTCCATATTTTTCTATTCGTCTACAAATTCGATTAGATGAACAAGTTAATGTAACTTCCGCAAAAAGAATCGATACTTATCAATGAGTATAATAGTATTTGTGCAATTCTCTACTTATATTTGTCAATATTTGTTATTCATAACAAATGATTTCAGAATCAATTTTTTTTGTTCTCTACTAAATAAAATCTCTTATTATTACGATTAATAAATATATATAATAGAAAAATATATCATATTTCCAACTTAAACATACTTGATTAAGATTAATTTCACCACGTGCTAATGTTTTATAACCAATCATTGGTCGATTTTTACGTCGTTGAACATAGATTTGAATCTTATTAATATCTCGTTTAAAATAATGAGGATACTATTAAAGAGAGCAGAATAATAATTTTTTATAAAACAAAAAATTCTAATTACAGTGATTAAATATTGAAGATTTACTGGTGCATCTAATGTTCCATCTTGTTGAAGTGATATTTCACAACAGCGAAACGTTCGTTTATTACTCTAAATAAATATTTTATTTTATTTTTATGTAATTATAAATTTAATATATCTACTTGTATTTTAACAGCAATAACAATTGCATTTGAATCTCCTCCATCAATTGCTCGATTTAATACAACACGAACTATACTAAATTTACAAAGTCTAAATACAAAAAATAATTCAATTATTCAAAAAAAACAACAATAACAAATTGCTCGTTAAATATATACCGTGGTATACAAGTCGAACTATTATCAATTTCTAATTGTGCATAAGCCATTAATGTTGTGGCCATTTTACCAGATGGTAATGTTCGTAAACTTTTTTCTGCCATTTATTTAATATATATTTACAAAAACATAATAATATTTGTTTGTTGTCTTTCTCTATTAAGGATAAAAGAAAAGAAATACATCATAGTAAGAACAGAAGATAAAAAGAAACGCGTCAGATGAATACATGTATATGAAGAGTTAGCGTGAAAGCGCTACAATCAATGGATATTATTATAGTATTCATAGCGTTTTATATTATAATTGGTTGAAGGAGAAAATATATTTTTCGATTTTTTTTTTATATATTTTCGATTTTCGATAAATTTATCAATGGTTGTATGGGGAGATTCGTTTTGGAGTGAAGGGAATCGAGGATTTGAAGTCTTATCAAGTAATGTAAAAAATGGTGCAGTAGCTATAGAAGAATTTCAACGATTTCTTAACGAAAGGTATGTATTCGATATAATATAAATATTAAAACATATTTTCAAATTTTTCGAATTGTAATAAGCTTGTTGTAAATTTTTATTTGTAAAGGATACCAACACGAATAATAACGATAAGAATTAAAAAAATAATTCATTATTCTTGTTTTGATAGCGAAAAATATTAAGAATACAAAATATCGATTGTTATGTAATTGAATTTATTTTTCTTCATATCGAATTCAAGTATAAGTGAAGAAGAAGTATTTCGTTCTTTTACAAACAAGCTTATATATATATATGACATTTAGTGAAATAAAATATTTGTTTTATTTAGTGTGCAATGTGAATCTGCCTATTGTAAAAGTTTAACACGTTTACAATCACAATTACTTAAAACGCAATATGTTGGTACATTTACACCGATATGGAATTTGATAAGAGAACTTATAGAAAAAATGACTGCAACACATAATAGTACAGTTAATATTTATCAAGATTTATTACGTGATGTTCATAATTATCAAGAAGTATATCAAAAAAAATTTAAAACACATATACAAAAAGATAGTGATATTTCACGTTCAACTGAACTTTTCTCACAATTAAATAATGCGTTTAATACAGTTAATAAATCTAAAGAACAATATCATTCCATTGCCTTAGATTATGATCGAACGAAACGTAGTGGAAATCATGCCCTGAATAATACATCAATGTCAACATCACAAGATAATGCGTCTCATAGTTTGACACAATCAGCAATAAACTCTATAACAGCAAGACAAAACGAACGTTTAGAAAAAAAATATCGACAAGCACAAGATGATTATAAATCAACGATTGAGAAATATAATTTACTTAGAAATGATTATGAAAAACGTTTTCAAGATGGTAAAAAAACTGATTTGATCATCTAGAAAAATATATGAATTTTATTTAGCTTGTAATAAATTTCAAGGTTTTGAAATTGAGCATATCGAAAAAATGCTTGCATATTCGTTAAATTATTCTGATATACTTCAACGAAATGGTGAACAAATACGATTAGCACGAAATGAATTTAATGATAGATTAAAATCTTTAACTGGAAGTGATCTTTTAGATACATTTGTTGAACAAAAGAAAACAGGAACAGAACCACCAAGTAATTAAATAAAAACGAGCAAAGAAAGTTTATTTTTGATTAATAAATTTTCTTACACGTATAGGTGCATTGCAATTTGAAGATATTGATAGTCTTAAAACGACAGTGCAATTAACAAGTCCAGATTTATCAAATGGTCAGGATGATTTCAATGCATTTGATCAATTAGATTCAAATGTACCTGCATTTCAAGCTCATTTTTCTGTTCCACCAGCGACTACAAAATATAATGATAATAATCGTGGTATGTAAAATAGATTGTCTCTTTCTGAAAAATCAATTATACCGATTCAGTTCGTCTTCATCATCATTTTTTCCATGGTTTGTATGATAATTATCAATATAAGAATATTAACAATAACGAGGAAAACAATCTATATATATAAATAACAAAACAACTTTTTCTTTTCTCTTATATAACATTCCTATTGCTGCATGTTATGATATAGCATTAATCGGAGGAATTTTAGCTTTATGATATACAAAAGTTAATACAGAAAAAAACTAAATGTTTGTATGTTTTTAGCACTGACACCGACTCCTACTAGTAATCAATCATTATCACCATCTAATAATACAACAACATCTCCTTCAACTAACATAAATACAACAGCAGGAAATATTATGACTTCTAATAATATAGGAAATCGTACGCAAGAAGCAAATAGTAATAATGATCAAACATCTAATCCATTCAATGTGAAAATAAGAAGACCAAAATTTCCAGGTAAATTTTTCAAGATAATAATTAGAATCAATTTTGATTAATAATAGGATTTTTTGGATCTGGTCGTGGAGATAAAAAAGAAAAGAAAACTGACAAGAAATCATCGGTTAATCCTAAATCCCATAAACCTTTTCAAAAAGCACATTCACGTGAAGAATCAACTGGAGATAATTCACAACCTTCGAATTATGATTCTAATGGTTTTATTGTAATGACTGATAAAAATGATGATTCTTCCAAAAATAGATATGTAAATATTCATAGAAATTTATTATCTCTTATTCTTCTTCTTCATTTTTTCATAGTCATCACCAGAAACATATGCTCAATCGAATATAACTAATGATACAAATCATCGACATACACAAAATACAGTTCCATTAGCACGATTATCATCAAGTTCAAGTGATTGGAGTGATAATGATGATGTTCCAATGGTCAATATTAATGTTAAAATCAATCCCAAAACAGAAGCTTCAATTAACGAACATGATGATGCAACATTAGAGACAGCTATGAAACGAATTAATTTAAATATTGGAAATTTAACAACAAGTTCCAGAATATCAATACATGTAAGTTCATATAAACAGATCAACTATATAATAATATCTTACTTTATTTTCTTTAGAAAACTCCAGAAATAAATAAATCAATGTCCACTGACCAAATTAGTAAAAACATATTTTTCCCACCACCTCTTCCACCACGTCCTGCTACGTATGAATAACCATTTCTTTTAATTTTTATTAATGAAATTTTCTCTATATATCCTAGAGCAATACCAAGTACTCAAACAACAACTAATATTGATACATCGAATATGTTTCCACCACAAGGTGAATTTGATCGATCTCCTTCTAGTACAATGAACACGATATTACCTCATCATGATATTTTTTATATCTCTTCACCATCAACAACAGAAAGTATGTTACAATCTTATTAAAAGCATTTTTTTATAATTTTTTTGTTTAGCCAAAAATACAACATCATTATCATCTACTGATGATGATCCAGAAGTGGTTAATTCATTCTTAAATGATGAATTAATCAATAAAATAACTCCATTTCCTGTTTTACAAGTACCTTCTTTACATCAATCCAATGTAAGAATTTATTTCCTATTCAATTTTATCTTTCTATATGACTAAACACATAGAGATTGTATTTATTAGATTAGAATTTCGATAAATCTGTCAACGATACTCTAATAAATAACATAACATTTGAGATAATTAGAAAAATTTCTTCATTGACGATTAAATTATACTAACCAAGTATGTATTTATAAATTTTAATGATAAAAACTATCGTCTAGATTTTCTTTTCACAATCATTAGAAAATTTTATTGAATAAACTAGTTTTTAGGTTGTATTACAAAGAAATTAACTTCAAGAGGCAACTATTAGGCTTGTATAATGCTTCATATCGATCTTTGAAAAAATATACAATCTTAATTATGCACATATTGAGTTCATCATTTCTATTGAAAACGACAAATATTTTATGATTTAAATTTGTACGTCCGAGTTTCTTTTTTTCTTTTGAACAAAAATGTGAAGGTGAGACATGAATATAATATCGTATCATTCTTACCTTGACCTCTCGAAATCCTCATCGTTCATTCATTTACATTATTCTTAAGATACGAATGTGTAAAAAAAAAGGACAAAAAGAAGGTCGAAACAAGGTCGTATAGAGAAGGTTATGTTTTTATCTATAATGCAATAAAATTTTACCGTTCATTCAGAAAAATGTATCTTGTTTTTATGCTAAAAGATTGTATTATTTATATTTATATATCGATATGAATGTTATTTGTTTGCAAAAATCCTCTTTTATTTCTTTTCTTCAGACAAACTAACACTATTACATTTTTATAACTAAAATAAAATATCGAAAAAAAAGAAATCATATATTATCGTTGTTTTGTTTGATTCTTTTAGCAACAAGCATCAGTATCGCCTTCTGTTAGTGAACTAATGGCTCCAATAAGTTTAAATTTTCGAAATAGTCCAATAACTTCCAATGAACAAGGAATGTCTCCAATAACGATTGGTGCTACAGATCAAATTCCACTTGCAATTGCCTTCCAAGAAACAATTAATGTTATGATGTGTGGAAATAATCGAGAAAAGTAATAAATGAAATATTTTCTTCGAATATAAAATTTTCAATAATTGTTATTATTTTGTTTCTTTCAAGTTGGAAAAGTCTAATTGTTGGTGAAATGTTAATTTCATTTCCTAGTTCAATGTTAAACTTATCCATCGATTCATCACGTTTTACAAATGCATTGGAATTTAAATTAAAAAATCTTGAAAAAATCGAAAATATTATTATAAAATCTTCATCAATCACACAGTAAATTATTTTCCTATTGAATTTCATGTATATATATATAAAACTATATAGAAATGAATCAACTTACTCATTTAATATGACTGAATTAAATAATACTCTTCATAATTTACATGAAAAAACTCCTTCATCACGTTTTTTTAATCTTAATGTGCTTAATTATGAAGTTTGTCAAAACTATTTTTCATTTCATATATTTTAATATTGTTTTCAAAGGTAAAAAATTCTGATCTATCACATATTCCAATTGAAATATCATCACAATGGACACGTACATTTGATACAATATCAGTCAAAATTAATTATCGTTTTAATAGTTCACTCTTACCTGAATCAGTTCGAATAAATAACGATACTGTCATTTTTTATACAATTATTGCCGATGGACAACAAATTAAAGAATCATCACCGAATGCTGAATGGTATTTTAAAAACTTGTCTTTTTTCTTCTTATGATGTTAATTTATTACTAATAGGTCTATAAATGAACAGAAATTATGGTGGAAAGTTCCATACGTTAATAATGGAGCAGGAAATTTATCAGCAACTGTAGTAACTGTACAAGCAGAAATTGACGAAAATGATAATGATCAAAACGAACAACCTTTGACAACATCATCGATTATCAATGCATATTTTATTGGTGAAAATGCACTTTTCTCATCTATTGATTTTGATCTTGCTTCTCGTGGTTATCGAGTTTCATTACTCAAAAAGAAAATACTCAGTGGTAAGTCTTTTGTTGTCGCGATGATGAATATGATTTCATACCTATTTGTTTTTCAGGTAAATATCAATCCGAACCAGATCAAAGTGAACCAATAAATTTATTTAAACGTCCAGCATTATCTGTCGATAATTAATCCCAGTGTAATAAAAACTTTTTTCGTTTAGTCTCGCACATGTTATATGGATACATAGTATTAACAAACAGTTTATTTTAATAATTATTTATTTTGTTATTTATAAGTTCTTCTAACACTCTTCTATAGTTATTTATTATTAATATTTATTTATTTTGTCAATAATAATTGTTTTATTTTTCTCTTTCTTCTTTTTTTGCTAATTTGCTCATATCATCTAAGGACTATTTACTTTAATATTGTTTATTTATTTTGATTGATACATATTTCGTTGTGAAAGTCTTTCTTTTTTTCTTCAAAATAATATAAAATAAAAAAAGTTTTTTTCAAAAATCAATACCATTTGCCATTTTTTCTTTTAATAATATAATAGCTTGTAACCAATTTTGACGAAAACGAAATTTAGCTGGCTCATAGATAACTCGCATTGTTTCTAATGCAAACAAAACTTTTACTGGAAGATTCTAATGATATAGAAAAAATAGAAATTTTGACGAAAAATATTTTCAAATTCAATATACTTTTGGTTGGACTTTTGATACATCGATGGTAAAATAAATAGAGATTGTTTGTCGTGGTATTGGTTGTCTTCGTGTTGGTATTGAATAACGTACCTAATCAAAAAAAACGAATTAAGAACTAGATAACAAAAGAAAAATCTTTACTCGATAGATATATAAATCATTGAATTCAAGTGTTTTTTTTTCAATAAAATCAATTGCATATAACCAACAAAGATCATGACCCCCTGGTGCTTTTTTCCATTCCTTTTTAAATAAAATATACAATCTTAATATAAGACAATTAATATTTACTTTTTCAATGTATTCATTGATTTTTTCTACACCAACTTTTTCATTTGTAAATTCTGAAATCTTTGGCCATTGTACAGATGCTTGTCCTGATATTTTAGCTTCATTTTCTAATTCAATAAAACGACCTCGTTCAACATGATTTTCTGTATCATTTGTATCAGTAACATGTGTTAATGATTGTTGTACAAGTAGATCGACAATAGAATGAGCTTCATGTGCAAATGTATCATAATTTTCTGATTGATCCAAAGACTATAATACATAATAAAAGAAATTTCAAATTATTATTTAAATATGTAAATTATTTCAATTACGTGCCACAGGTAAATGACGATCGACAACAGCCATACCAAGCAATACAATTTAAACAATACGTTTTTAAAATCTCGTTTGGCATCATCAATAGAGTAACTATGGAAACAATTTGATAGATTTCGTTATTATATTTTTAATATATTTCAACATATAGTATTAATGATTTTTTAATGTATAAAATCTGTTGTTTTAAAATTTTAAATAAATTTTAATCGATTTATAATTTAATTGGATAAAAATATATCCAATGGAATAATTCAATATTATATGTACATTAAATTCTTATTTATTGTTTATTTATATTCTATTTTAGTTCTTACGTCCTTCATTGACTCGTTTTTTGTTTTGTAAAACTAAAATCGAAAACATCGAAGATTATTTTTTCAAGATATTTATCTAATGTTCTATTAAATATTGTGCAATGTCCAGTAATACGCAACAAACTTTATGGAAAACAGAACATTCTGTACCAGGAAGGTAAAGTTTGTCGTACATTTATTTAAGGTAAAACATTTTTTCTCATTTAAAAGACCTGTTTTTGGTGCACAACATTCACCATTTTCAAAGTAAAAACGTCGATTTCATAAAACACAAAGCTAAATTTTTTTATTTAGAAAAGCATTAGTTACGAATTCCGTAATATCAAAAAAAAAAGAACAAGAAAAATTTAATGAATATTCAATAAATACTGATGATGCCTGGGAAATCGATGATGGTGCAATGTCTTTAAAATTAATCGATAGTGATGATAATGATGATCAATCACAAATATTGAATATTTCAAAACAGGTCTCTTTTTTTGTGCTTATAACATAGAAATAGTAAGATTAACATTCTAATTTTGTTTAGACTGTTGATGAAGTTGCATCAAGAGTTATACAACAACATAAATCGAAAGTTCAATCGAATAAAATTACACTTGATGCATCCGCTGGTAATGAAAATCATGTAATACTTTAGAATGAATTTTGTCAGATTGACATTAGTATAGATCCTTGTTTTTGAAACTATTGAATTTCATGTAGTAGATAAAATTCGATACTTGACTAAAAATACATCTATCTATGTCATATATCTGATATAATTAATAATAGAGTATTTGTTTCCTTCAGTTGTTGAATGTTGTTCTCTTTTATATAAAAACAAAATTTTCTTTTGATACTATCACGCACTCAGACTAGATAAAGAAGTTTTATTCCGGAAGTTTTCTTGCACGAGATACTAAGACAAAACTATTTATCTAATGACCTTGGATTGTAGATTAAATCTATGTAAAACCAGGCCTTCTTCGCATAAATCTCTTTACTAACAATAACAAAAAACTAATGAATATTTTTGTTTTTGTTTGATTCTAGTACGAAGGCCAATTATAACATCGAATCTAAATTCGACTACATGTCCAGGTATTGGCAGACGAATTGGAGATTATCCAAATATAAAACCATTGGTACCAATTCGATATAATAATACAATTAATAATAATTCAAATTCTTCTTCTTCTTCTTCGCCTTCTACTCGATCAAATTTTTTTACAAAACCTGATATTGATATGCAAAAAGAAATTAAATTTAAACAAATTATCGAACAACCCAATGTTGATTTAAGTATTAAAATAGAATCTTAGATAGAGGAGGAAAATAAACAAGATATCAAATTTTAATTTAGATGAACTTCGTAAAGCAAGTTGGAATGGTATTCCAAAACAATATCGTACACAAGCTTGGAAATTACTTTGTGTATATATGATAATTTAATTGATTTTGTTTTTATTTTATTGATCGGTAATTTTAGGGTTATTTATCATCAAAAATTGAACGACGACAAGATACATTAACAAGAAAACGTGAAGAATATTGGTCTTATGTCAGTCAATATTATCATACACGTACTGAAATTGAGCATCAAGATACATTTCGACAGGTATGAATTTATTTTCACTATGAAGAAACTGTTACATTTATTTGTAATGAATAAGTTGCTCAGTAAATTAATAAGATTTCTTAAAGAGAAGTGATGGATAAAAATGCTTGTAATCTCATCATGTTCTTCTTTGTATTATTGATGTCGACTTGTCAATCTCAAGAAAGTAAAGATAAATTTGTGTTAGTGATGATCACACAAACACACACAGCTAAAATCATATGCCCTTGGGTTATGATGACCATTTAGTGCTCGAGATGAATTCTTTGACTAATCAATCATCTTCATATATGCAGAATAAAGCCTAGAATATTCTTGTTTGTATCTACATCTAATCCCTATAAGTGCTATTTTTATCTTCGTATAGGAATCTTTTCAAGTATGATTGAATATGAAGACTTTACTCATTTGGAAGAAAACATACATATATATATATATTGAATTTTTAATTATTTAGATTCATATAGACATTCCACGAATGAATCCTTTAATGCCAATATTTCAACAAACAGTTGTACAAGAATTATTTGAACGTATTTTATTTATCTGGGCTATTCGTCATCCAGCAAGTGGTTATGTTCAAGGTATCAATGATCTTGTTACACCATTTTTTGTTGTTTTTCTTTCGGAATTTATTGAAAATGGTAAATAGAAAAAAAAATTACGTTGTCTTTTTTTCCTGATTAATAAAATATAAATTTTCTTTGTTTGAATTAGATATTGAAATTGAAAATTTTGATATTAGTTCATTACCAGAACAAAATAGAAAAATTGTTGAAGCGGATAGTTATTGGGCAACATCACATTTACTTGAAGGTATTCAAGATAATTATACATTTGCTCAACCTGGTATACAATACAAAGTTCGTACGTTAGAAGAACTTGTTAAACGTATTGATGGTATGTTTGTAGAGGAAAAACAATTCTATTTATTTAATTTGATTTTTATTTAAGAACCATTATATCGTCATCTTAAAGATCAGCATATTGAATTTTTACAATTTGCTTTTCGTTGGATGAATAATTTACTGATGCGAGAATTACCTGTACGATGTACAATTCGTCTTTGGGATACATATCTTGTAAGAAATCTTTTTTTTTTGAAAACATACACAAAGAAATTCATATCTTTATTTTTTAGTCTGAACAAAATGGATTTTCTCAATTTCATTTGTATATATGTGCAGCATTTCTTGTTCGTTTTTCAAAAGATCTTTTACGTGAAAAAGATTTTCAAGTAAGAAATAAATTTATATTTATTGTTAAAATATTTATCAAATTTTATTAGGGTATACTTCTTCTTCTTCAAAATTTACCAACACATTCATGGACAAGTAATGATATAAGTATATTAACAGCTGAAGCGTATCAATTAAAGGTTATGTTTGCAAATGCACCAAAACATTTAACAAGCTAGTGAACAGTTTCTTTTTCTTTCTTATTCTTATTCGAATCTCGTTCGTTTATTATATCTAGGCTATTAAATATGGTTACTAATTCATTTATTCTTTTTAATTCTATTTTTTTAAAAAAGTCTCTCTTGATACGTCACTTTTTCTTTCACAATCATTCAATGAGATTTTCGAAATTATATAACACCTTCTACAACTCCTATCACATGATGAAGATTATTTCTTGTCTGTTTCTTCTTCTTCTTTTTTTGTTATTGTTATAGCATTTATGCAAATACTGGATTAATTGATTGTTAAATGATGATGATTTTTTGTGTAAATACAGTGGGAAAAAAAACAAATACATACATGCGCTTATATTTTATGTTTTCTTTTCTTTTAAATCAATGATTTCTATTATATTTGCATGTTAGAAATAATTAGTTCATATTATAGACCAAACTTTTTCCTCACTTATTTAACAATTATAAGAAAATTTTTAGTATTTAAAAAAAATATATATCAGTCGTATTTTTTGTTATCCTGGTTTGAGGAAAAAAGTAATAATAGAAAGATACTATTTTTTCCCACGAGATGTCAGAAATACGTTTAAAGCACATATAAGAAAGAATAGATAAGAATATTCTCGAGCTAATTGAAAGACACGTCAATTGTTAATACGATATGTATAATAACATATCTATATTTACATAGATTCTCTTAGTTTTTCGTTAAGATTATCCTATGCTTGATTAAACAAATGGAAAAGACCTTATTGTCGAAATCAATAATAGGATATAAATACTTTTTTATTCGCTCGTTCAATTTCTTAGTAACAATAAACTTAATAAAAAACAAAAAAGAATAAGGATAATCATAATCGATTTGCCATCAAAAATTACTTGTTCGTATTTGTCTATGCATGTAAGCATGAAAAGATTATCCTTAACGATGTTGTCAATGATGAGACATAAGTAAAAGAGAGAGAAAAAAAAGGAGAAGGTAAGAAAAAGAGGAAAACCAAGCGATACGTTTGAAAAATGAGCTTGCCGTTCATTTGTCATACTTCCTCTATCGTAGAAAAGAAGAAAAAAATGATCACCTCTCTTCTCTTCCTGCCTAAGAAAAAAAACACGGAGAAGAAGAAGAAGAAAAAAACTAGAAAACCTGTGAATATTCATTAGCTACAAACTATGAAGGAAAAAAAAGGAAAAGATGTGCAAGACTATATTTATTCTTTCCTCTTTTTTTAAACTATTTTTTTAGATAAAAAAAATCTTTTTTTTCATACGACAGTTCATTTCATTGAATTGTAAGTAGAAGAACAAGCAATCTTTTATTTTTGTTCTTTTTTTCTAGATTAATTTGATTATTTATTAGAATATAAAATCAATTAAATATGTCAACAATAGCAAATAAACAAAAATTAGTTGAACAATTACGTGCTGAAGCTAATATTGAACGTGTTAAAGTATCAGTTGTATGTAAAGATTTAATAAAATTTTGTCAAGATCATGAAAGTGCTGATGTTTTGGTTCGTGGTTGGGCTGGTTTTGCAAAAGAAAATCCATTTAAAGAAAAACAAGGTTGTGTTACTTTATGACTAAAATATGCGGTGCTTTTTGTCTATTTAGTCAAGTATATGCTTGGCATTTTAGCACGTTATTTGCAACGTAATTGGTATTGAACAAAACAATTATTGTTTGATTGTTTCTTTTTTTATTGTGTGTGTGTGTGCAATCTCGAATTGATTATATATCAATTTTGCTTCTCTTCGTTTTTTTTTATCATCTCTACATGTTGTGGAATAATAATCTTCGGATTCATTTTTTGCTTTTTTTTTTTGTTTGTTTGCTTATTGTCTTTTGATGTTAAAATTAATAATCTTAACAAGAAGAAAAAAATAATAAGAATGATGATGAATATGACTAGAATAAATTGATTTGATTTGTTTAAGAAGATTTCATTTGTTGTTTTTTACGTTTTAATCGTTCAGCTAATAACACAGATACATCTTTTCGAGTTTTATAATGAAAACGAGTTAAAGGATTCCTTAGTTTCCTAAGAAAAGAAAATGAATATCGATATAAAATTTTGTAAAACAAAATAAATATTTACCATGCTTTATCTTTTGGTACTGCTATGTACGTATCATTAAGATTATGAGCATGTTTTAAATCAACAGGATTAGTTATATAAAGAAAATCCATTCCAAAAACATCAAACATACTCTCAAGTACAATACGTCTTGGTTCCAAATCAGGTGAATCATGAGAAGTCCATTCAATTTCAAGATAATCAATCAATGATAGACTTCGATCAATAACCATTTTTTCTAGAACATCTATTTCAGCACCTTCAATTGTAAATTTCACATGCAGATAATCATCAAGAGAAAAATTGTCTATTAACCATTGAGAAAAATCAATTGAATGAACATATATCGCAGAATCTTTATCAACTCTAGATTTTTGTCCTCGTTCAGTTGCATATCTCACTTTATCATTTTTAATCCAAACAGCAGCATTATAAACTGTTCTATGAACAGATTTAGGTAACGTTTGCCTTGATTTACATACAGGATAATTTATTGGATCAGGTTCAAATGTAATAATATAAAGATTTCCTAAACTTAATGCTTCATTTTTATGAAAATGTAAAAAATGATCAATATCACGACCATCAAAGCATCCAAGATCAATATAAAAAAACCGACGAGTTCTATTTGTTGTTTGTATTGAAGTATTATTACTATTAAGATATGGTTCATAATCAAAATAGTTAGTTTTATGTGAAGGATACATATTATTTTCAAATATATTAATTATTGATAATGATTTATTTGTTTGCATAGTTTCGTTTGTAAGACGAACATAATGCATAAAACATATAGTAAAAATACACGTGAACAAAAGTAAAATTATATCTAATATTAATGATCTTGAAGGAATTGATAATAATAACAACGAAGGTTTTGTTCTTAATAACCTATCGTGATGTTTACGGGCTGGTAGAGAAAAGTCCATTGTTATATCAATTCTATAACATAAGAAAAAAAGAATCGGAACATTTGATGTAAAACAAAAGAAGGAAAATGTTTTTCCCTCTATCGATAATAAATTGACTATCAAATAAGGTAAACAGATAACGTTTTTTATGATATTTTCTTCGATACTCTTAGGTTCTATAAAAATATATTAGTGTAAAAGAAAATCAAAAAGCATGAATATTTTTAATAATGTTTAAATGTACATACACGTGTCAATTATTCTTGATTATAATTTAATTCTCATACTGACTACAATTTTGTTACAATCGATGATATTTATTGAGAAAAATACTAGGATGTTTCTGTCGCGCATTGGTATTGGAGCACGTTTACTCACATTACTTAAAGTACATGTATGACAATGATTTGTCATATCGTAAATGAGTTAGGAAGTAGATAATTTATCCTTGAAACGAATGATATTAACCATAGGAACTTTAATAAAAGAAAAAGAAAACAACTATTTTATTATAGGTATGTCAACAAATTCTAATTGTTATTTTCATCGATCATGAAAACATTCTTTTTCCTCTTCATGTTTTCATTTACTCCTTTTCCTCTTACGCATCATTAACTCTCCTCATATTTCTTCCACCTGTCATCATATTCCAGTTTTTTTTCTCCTCCACGCTCTTGTCTTCATCTCTCCTGATTGAAAGATTATATACATAGTTCATGTCTGTTTTATCTTGTTTTCTTGTCATCTTATTGATTTATTAAAATTTAAACTTCTACTATAATCAAAGATATGTCTGAGATGAAAGCATGAGATTATACAATTTTAATGAAAAGAAATACTTGAAAAGATGCAATTAATCATCTATTGTGAATATTGAATAGGTAAACAAAGTATTGCTTATGATTTCTGCATGAATTAATTCCTATATTAACGAGTCAATGTACATCACTAGTTTAAATTAACTTATATATTGTTCTCATATGTTCATACTTAGAAACTATTCAAATCTTTTTTATAATCTCCGGTTCAGTGAAATTCTAATTTATTATAATAATACAATATTCAAATGATTCTAATATAAAGAGAAAAAAAAATGTCTACATTGAATAAAAAGAAAGACATAAGATTAAGAATATTAAAACAAAGTAATTAAGTTAAATATTTGTATTTTAATTATCATTTTCATTAATATCTTCATCGACTTCCTCTTCTTGAGAATGTTTCATATTGTGTAACCCTTTCTGGTCTTCGTCACTTTCACCATATAGCTCGGAAGTTTCGCCATATTTTTTATTTTTTTTATCGTTCTCGACGACTGATTTTACCTTATCAATGTCTTGATTATTATGTGTAGGCGCAAGTACTTTCTTATTCACGTCCATTAGTGTTATCGGCAGTTGCACTTGACGTTCTTTTACATTTGAGTTATTGATATCATCCTTAACATGATTTGTTGTATTTTTTTCTTTTTTCATATATTGCAAAGGTAATGCGTCAGCTTCATCATCGTTGATTGCGATTGCTGAGGATATAGTATCATTAATAATTGATTCCGTGTTGACAAGAACATGAGCAGCTGTTTAAAACAAAAAAAAAGAACAAAAATAAATGAGAAAATAAAATCAATTACAACGAGTAACGTCATCCATTAGGTCTTGATTCTTGATGAAAAATGATCTTGCTTCTGACTCTAGTACAATAGAAATCATGATGAATGATATAAATCTATATAAAAAATTCGAAAAAAAAAACTATTTCATTTTCTTTTGTTAAATCAAATACATACTTAATATACATGATAGATTAAGTCTCGACGTCAATATAGAACAATGAATTTTTTCATCATTGAACTGCTGGTTTTATATAGTAACTGATAAGACAAATATGTTCATTGACATTTTAGTAGAATTATTTTTATCTTGTGCATTTGTTTTTTTACTGATAGTCATGTCAAAGAATTAAAAAGATAGATCAAAACTTTACTAAAGACATTCTTTGTTTAGTTTATCTATCAAGTACTTTCTATAAATGTTGAAGTACAAAAGAAACTTGATAAATGGAATAGAATAGAAATAAATAAAAATATTTATCTTTTTGTCATCTAGTATATTTAATTAAAAGATCACAAAAAAATCATGAGATCATTACAGAGAAGGAAAAAATGCGAGATTAGTAAAGCTGTTATTAGAGAAAAAAATTGTACATGGCTGGTTAAATTTTTAACGAGATTCGAAATGTGCTGATGATGAACTGCTTGATGATTTAGCTGATTCAACTTGTGTTGTCTTTCCAACTGTTACGGCAGCACCTTGAACATGTGTTTCACCAGAAGCAGCAGCTTTTGTTGTAATAACCTAGAATAAAATGATCGATTAAAAATAGTTTAATCATAAAAAACAATTTTCATACTGTTGTTGTGGTTGATTGAAGACGACGTGAAGCATCTTCTTGACCAAGAGCGGTAACTTGTTCGGTAATTTTTGCTATAATAAAAATAATAAATATAGATCAAATAAATATAAAATTTAATTTAGGATACTTACTGACTTGAGCGTTGCTTTGAGCTTGAGCTTCTTTAAGAACACCCTAGAAATAAATAGAATAATTTATAATAGGCATAAATATATATCTATAGTGAACTTACCATTTTTAATCGGTTAGCTTCTTCGTTAAGATCATCGATACGTTTGCGGGCAGATTCAAGAATAAGTTCTTGTCGAACATTAAGTTCTTTTTCAAGTTGAGCAAGTACGGTGGCTTTTTCACCGTCGAGTTTTGCAACATGTTCTTGAATTTTGCGTTTGAATTCAAGTTCGATTCCTAAAACAATTCGATAATTACAATCGTATAAATTTCAAACAAAAAAACAAGAAACTTACCACTTGTACGTGTATTAGCATCAGCAAGAAGTTGTTGTTGTTGTAATTGTGTTTCAGCAACAACTTTTTTGATTGATTCAGAAACAGCTTCGCTAATTTCTTCAGTACGTCTACGTGAATATTCATCAACTTGGAGATGTGTTGATCCTTAAAATAAAATAAAAATAAATATTTTCTAATTCATTTAATATTCTATTTAAATTTACCAAGACGAGCCATAAGATCAGTAATTTTTTTTGAATTTTCCATGCTAACCTTTGATTGAGTTTCAGTTTCAACAACTGATTGAACATGTACATTTTCAGCTTGAGCTGAATGTACTTTAGCTGAACCAGATGATGATGATGCGGACATTTTATTCATGTTTAATTGATTTGATTGAAATAGAAAGACGATTAGAACGTGTATATGAAGAAATATAATAGGAGAGAGTGAAAAATACGACTATATATACCCCCTATAAACTGGACATCGATAGACCTCGATCTCATTCTTTCTTTATTATGTATGAGGGGCATAGTTCACATTTCTATTGTCGAAAACAAAGTATCATTTAGAATATTCGTCCATACAGACACAAGAACAATGATCAAATCTAGTCTAACTATGCAAAAGATAGACAATGAACATGGACGAACATACGCCGACAACGTGATTGACTAGAAAAATATATGATGTACTTGATTTTCGCACCGTAATTCATGAAGAAAGAAAGGAATATAACGTATTCTATGATATCATGAAATTCTTTTAACGTAATTTTGAACTAGATAGAAAATTTTCATTGGTTTCATCTGCTTATATTGTTTTTATTTATCTGTAAAGTCCAACGTTTTCTTAGATGATTTTTATAATAATTAGAACGATACATAGATAACAAAGGAGAAAAAAAAAGAATATATTATCACCGAAAAAAAAAAGGAAAAATTGCAATGCAAAAGAAAAACAGTTATATTTTACAATAGAAAGAAAAAGAAAATTACATAGGACTTTGTGCTATTTGAACACGACGTGGTAGTTTACGTTGTGGTGTTGTTGTTTCTGATGTTCGTCCAAATTTAACACCACGTCTAGTTACTTTACATTGACGATGTACAACTGATTGAGTACCAAGAATATTTGCAAGTTCATCATAATCAACTTCACCATGATGATCATCTATTATTTGTGTTGTATCATCAACAAAACTATCATCTTCATCATAAATATCATCTTCCATTGTCATATGTGGTAATTGTGAATAAATATCTTCTATTGGTATTGATCGTGGTGGTTGACGTATATTTATTTGTGGACTTTTTATACTTTTTAAATAAATACTTGTCATATCAATATTTGGCATTTGTGTTAAAACTTGACGATCATCAATAAAATGATCATGTTCATTATCATGATCATTTTCAACTTCATCTGATGATACTGTTTGAGAAAGTGTTTCATCAACACTAGCTTCTTGATCAAGAAAATTTGATGCTAATCGTCGATGAAAATGTCGTTCTTGTTGTTCAGTAGAAAGTTCTTGTGCACTTTTAGATTTTTTTCTTTCGACTATATCAGGTGTTACAATTGAAAGACGTCGAACACGTTTCTTTGATGGAACTGGTCGAATTGGTGTTTCAAATTTCTCAGAATCTGTTGTAACATTATTTTTATTTGTTGTTTCAGATATAGAACTAAAATAAAGATTGATGTATTAGAAATTATTTATTTATGGAAAGAGAATATATTGAAAATGAATAACTAAACTATTTGTATCTATTATTGATAGGAGTAATTCTTTAGATTTCATATAGTCATAATTTTATTTTCGATATAAATAAAACTGTACAAGTATAAAAACAAATCATCAATCAATATATTATACTACAAGATAAAAAATATACATATTTCATGAAATATTCGTATATATTACAATTAACTTACGTATCGAGTATTTTCTTATTGGATTCATCACTATTATCGAGATCATTGAAACTAAATTCTAAATCAAATTTTGGTAATGTCACATCAGCTGTTTGAGTATTTTCTTGACGTTGTGTATTAATATCATCGAAACTAAATTCTAAATCAAATTTCGGCAATGTCACATCAGTTGCTTCAATATTTTCTTGACGTTGTGTATTAATATCATCGAAACTAAATTCCAAATCAAATTTTGGTAATGTCACATCAGCTGTTTGAGTATTTTCTTGACGTTGTGTATTAATTGTATTAGTATCATCGAAACTAAATTCTACGTCAAATTTTGGCAATGTAACATCAGCTTTTTGAGTATTTTCTTGCTGCTGTGTATTGACTGTATTAGTATCATCGAAACTAAATTCTAAATCAAATTTCGGTAATGTAATATCAGCTGCTTGAGTATTTTCGTGATGCTGTGTATTAATTCTATTTGTCAGTACTAATACAGGACTTGGATTTGTTATTTGATTTGATGATGATTCCATATGTTGATTAAATGCTTCTAATAATTCATCATCATCCATACCATCATCATCATCATCAAAAAGACTTTTTTGTTGAGATTTAACATCATTTATCTGTAATGTTGGTGATAAATGAGATGTTTGAGATGCTGGAAATAGATCATCCATTGTAATATTAAAATTTCCAGTATTAACATCATCATTATCATATATGGATTCAATATTAGTTGATTCCAACTTTGGACATGTTATATCAAATGTTGAACCAGCTAAACATAAAATAATGAAATCTAGTTTTTCTAAGATAATCAATACTTACTACCAAATAAATCTCCACAATCAATTTCTTCATCTTTTTTATGTACAATCGCTTGAAGATTTAATAATTGATCACATTCGTTGGGTAATTTCGTTAGATCAAGTGGTGAACATATTACCTTTGCTTTAATTTGTTCTTTTAATTTTGAACGATCAAATGGTGATGGCATTTTTGGTCGTTCCGGAATAATTGTTTCAATTGGTGTTGGTTCATCCATTGGCCATGTCTAAAATTATTTTGATCATATAATTTCGAATATTTTTTGAAATATTCAATTTACATTATTTGGAATATCAACAAAAATTCTTTCATTCGTATAATTCTTCATGAAATCTACTAATATTTTCGTTCGAGATGAATGCATTGTTTGACTTTGAATTTCTCGTTGTTCATTTGACCATTTTTCAATAACTGTTTTCATCATTAATTTTAATCGATCTTTCTATAAAACAAAAATTGAATTCAATCCTTTTACGAAAAACTAACCAACTTACAGTAGATATTGATTTTTCATTATTATCATTATCATCATCATCATCATTTAATTGATAATTTCTTACCCAATGATAAAATTCATTATCAGTAAGTAATTTATCTTTACGAAATAATTTCAATAAATTTTCTATATAAAAAAATACATACTGGAATATGATGAAAAAAAACGCAACTTTTCTATTTCTATTAACCTTGTTGTTTAGTTTTATTTATTATTGAATTAAAATCTGTATCGTTTGCTTTAAACTTTTTTTTATTTTGTCTATCCGATATATCAGTATCATCAGTCATTTTAACTGCCATTTCTTGACATTTGGGTTGAATATCGGATGGAACCATTCGAAGATTATTAGGATATAAATTTAGCATACGTGCACCATCAATAATTAATTTAAATATACGTTTTTGTTGCATTTCACCTTCATGATATGTTCGTTCTTCTTTACCTCTAGATTATTAAGACAAATAAATAAATAAATTATTATAATTCAATAAATAAACGAACTCAGTCATAAGAAGAACAATTCGACCTTGTCGAGCACGTCCTGTTCGACCCATACGTTGAACAAGTCGAATTGGTGATTTAAGTGCATCAAAACAAATAATTAAATCAACACTACCAATATCTAAACCTTCTTCACCAATTGATGTTGCTACAAGTACATTATAACCACCAGCACGAAAATCAGTCACAACTTTTTTTTGTAATTTTTGATTGATACCCTCTAAAAACAATAGTTTATTTATAGGGAAATGTGTATATTAAAATATCTAACACATACGTCCAGCACCATGTGATGAAGCTTGTCCAATAAATAACATTGGTTTAACTAATGGTCGATCTTGTTCAAGAAGTTCTGTAATTTCTCTAACACTATCACGTTTTTCACTAAATATAATAACACGTGTTTGATCATCGGCTTTTGTTTTTGTACGTTCAAATGTTTGAAAATGTTCAACAACACATTCACGTAATTTAGCTAATTTTGGATGAGCAACTTGGACACTTGTTACACGTCGTTGTTGTGTACTAACTTGTGATAAATCAAATAGATTTTGTAATTGAGTATAGATTTCATTTAATTCGGTATTATGTTTAAATGTTGCATGTAATAAACCATTTTTTTTATCTTCAGTTAATTTTTTTTTAAAGAAATTATATACAGATTGTAAACCATGTTTTTCTAATTCATCAAGTGCATGAAAGAATGATATGGCAAAGAAAATTGCACCTTTAGCTTCTTGGTATTGTTTATCCTGAATAAAAAAAAACTATATCATATAATCTTTCCATGGAACATATATACATACATTTAAATTCGTTGGCTTATCTTTTGTTACTTTTTTCATTGTTAAAATAAGTGATCCACATGAAATATGTTCAGGATTCTTTTGATAAACAACTCCTAATTTAGCAAGTGTTTCAACTGGTTTTTGGAGTATACTTAAAATACATCGTCGCATATCTTGCATTAATTTATTAGAACTAACAACAATTTTATCAATTATTTTATCAAAACTATATTTTTTAATATCAGGTGAATCATCTGTAAACATTTCAATATGAGATATTTTAAGATTTTGAATAACATTTTGTACAGCCTATTTATAAATGTAATTCAAGAAAATTTTAATTAATGTATTTCTTTTACTTCGACATTATTTCCTGGTGTTGCACTAAGTGCAAGAATACGATAATCTTCACCATTTCTACTTAATTCTTGAACAACCTAATTGAAAAGAAAGTAAAATTTGAAAAAGAATAAAATAGATTATACATACTTGACAATAAGCATGTTGACCAAGTGCTCGATGTGCTTCATCAATAATTAAACAACGAACTTTTGCCCATGGACATGTAGTTTTAACAAGATCATTATTTAATGTTTGTGGTGTTAAGAAAAACACTCTTTTTTCTAACCATAGTCTTTTTCGTTCTTCTGGATTAACTCCACCAGTCATTTCACACATTTCACTCTTTCGAATACCCATTACTTTAGCACAAGCATCCATTTGTTGAGCGACTAATGGTTTAGTTGGAGCAGTAAATATAATTTTACCTGTTGGATACCAACGACAATAATTATACATAACAACAGCTGCTATAAATGTTTTTCCTAGACCAGTTGGTAGAACGACAAGTGTATTTTGAAATAATGCTTCACTAACTATCTTATATTGATAATCACGTTTTTCATAATTTGTTGGATAAATCCAAATAGATCCTGATTGTCGATCAAAATCTGGATATGTATGCATATGTTCATTCACATTTACAGGTGCTGATACTGATCCATGATGTGTTTGTTTAGAATTTTGTTCTGGTTTATAGGTTATTGGCCATTTTGATGTAGATGTAGATGTTGTTGTTGTTGGAGGTGGTTTAGTTGCTGGAACAGAATAAGAAGAAGAAGACGATGAAGAAGGTAAATTATTCTTTTCAAACTGTTCCATAGCAGTTAATAATTCAATATCATCATCATCATCATCGTCGTCAATATGTTGAGATACTGATGGATTTTTAATATTAGTTGTTGATGATTTCGATTTATTAGATGACCAAAATTGTCCAAGAGTAGTTTGATTTTTTGACATTGTTGAACTACTAGTCGTTTTCTTCATCTAAATCAAATAAAGTTTTATTATAAAAAAGGCGCAAAGAATACTTTTTAATTGATATCAATCTGACAATTCGTTTTTTCTTTCTGTTCTGTCTGTTGAATGATAGGCATTCTCTTTTGAACCAATGAATATATTCCTATGAAATATTGTTCACTAATACCCTCTATCTAACTTCTAACAACATTTAATTTGGGTCGGAGTAATTAGCCGAAGCCGAAGAACGAAGAAGACTAATAAATTGATTGGCTGTTCTATTTCATATATCTTATACATTTAAGTGCTATTAATTTTAAAAGATGTCACCATCATGCAACATATTCTAAATGTTTTGAGCGAAAACTAAATAATCATCGGTTTATTAGCTTCTTGATAATTACTAGATTGATGGTATAAAGAACTTAAAAGGAATTATTGATAATATTTGAAAGAATCCAGACTTAAATATTTTAATCGACTATACAAAATTAAATGATACAACATCAATAGTATATAAAAAATACAACGATAACTCGACTTATCAGAGGGAGGAAAAATTGAATACATAGATCTAGTCAAAAGATCCTATGTAAAAGATAAGTCGACTCATCAAAGGGAGAAAAGAATGTATGTACAGATTTAATCAAAAAAAAATTATATAAAGGATAAGTTGAGTTGTCAAAGGAAGAAGAAAATCAAACGTATAGACCTAACTGAAAGATGCTATCTAAAGGATAACTCGACTTATCAAAGAGAGAAAAAACGAATGTATAGATTCAGTCAAAAAAAATTTTGTAAAGGATAAGTCGAGTTATCCACTTGAGATAAGTCGAGTTATCAAAGAAAGAAAAAGTGAATGTATCGTTCTAGTCAAAAGATACTGAAGTTGTTTCAGTCATTATGACTGAGAAAAATGTAAATTATACGATAGAAACCACTTAATTTTGAAAGGCTTTTACATTTAAAATTTTAAGATAGTTATTAATGAATTAAAAATCTTTTTGCTTTTATTTTAAAAGTCATTGGGAAAGTTCTCTTAACTCCGAAATCTTTGTACATTTATCAATATACATATATATATATATATCGATATATATTAGATTATTGCAGGTAAACTACGGATCGACAGCTACAGGTTAAACGAGTTTGCCGCAACAGCCAAGCAGCGCCTTCGATCGGTTCGGCCGTCTATTCCTTCTTCGGCCAATTACTCTGACCCATTTAATTTTTCAATTGACATTCTTATATTTATAAAAAGCTCATAAATTGAAAGGTCTTTGGATAAAACCAATGTAGGGATGTGAGTGCATCTTCTCTTAACTTTATTTCTTATTATTATTATATTTTTTAAAATCATTTTCATTGATTTAATTATTTTTCTATTAATAAAGTGCGCTCGAGCACGTGTTATAACATACATGTAATTACAAAACTGATGTCTATCATCTAAGTAACACGCAGTGATATCATGGGTTAAGTCTAAAGCATATGAAGAGTTTAAAATAGGCTGGATAAGTAAAAGATGTCAAAGTGTTTTTCATAGGTGAGTACATAAGAGGCATTGCACGTAACCCACACCCAATTTGCCATAACGTTGCTCAATGACCATCTCCGATTTGGCTGATATTTTTACAGTAGATAGACCATACTAAGTTAGGAAGAAACCCAAAATTTCAGCTCAAACGAACAAGCCTTTGTTGAGATATAACCGTCACAAGTATCATGAGTAATACCTATTTGGGTCACATTTTTGACCAACTTTATTCAGTAAATTTTTAATATCTTACGAACGATAAAAGATAGAACCGAGATTTTTTACCATAAATACTACTAATGATAGGCTATCGTTTGATACCATTGAAAGTACCTGATAGTCGAATTTTTTTCTTCGGTATTAGGTGGTCATTGGGGTAGGTATCTAGGCCATGTTGGTTGGATCCGCGCTCTAGATCTTATCAGGACTAGTCTCAACTGAAAGAGCACATCAGAATGCATCGAAATATGTGTTCAAAAGTTTGTGAAAATGAGTTTCGTGGGGAAAAGTTTCTTCAACAATATTGTAGTATCTTCCATTAGTTTCTAAGATAAAAAACAATAGGTATATTCAGTATTTTTAATATACCATCATCATGAACTGCCCTGATCAAAAAATGAATATCCTATTCGAAATCAGCCCAAAACAACACATTAAAAAACATATATTTGATGCAAAAAAGAAATTTTGTAAAATTCACCTTTAGTACCCCCCAGTACTTAGTTCTTACAAAAACTGGCTGAGGTCCCCTACAGGTTAACTTTTGTAAAGAAAACTGTTCGATATATATGAGAAAAAATAATCTACAATAATTGCTAAAATTTTCATAGAAGATCAATTAATAATATTCTCATCGAGACTGTCTTTTGAATGGAAAGATTACAATATAATTCTATAATGCTTTATTATCAGTAAGAGAATGCAATAGAAAAATTCTTGTTTACGCTATGTTTCAAAACAATTAACGCTTTAAAAATATCTAAATGACTAATGAATAAAAAAATGCATCATCTGACTCTATACAGAAACATAAGTAAAAAATAATATCATATTCTTGTCTGCGTTTTCCTATTCTAAGTCTTTATATTATTATAATATTCTAGATATCTATTTTAAAGTTCTAATTAAATATTTTATTCAATATTGATCATTATAATTATACTATAGAGTACTTGACAAATGTTCTAACAATGCTCATAAAGTTTGTTTATATTACAATAATACTCGAATCGATTAATTACAAATAAAGGATAGATTGGTAAACAATATCATAATGGTATTGATTGGATAAAAAATTATTTGTTTTATTATAAATTATTCAATTTAAGACTGCTAGCATTATTCTTCTCATCGGTTACTTAAAATAACTTCAATGATGATGATAATATGGATGAAGAATTAAATATATTAATATCTATCTATTTAGATGGTTTAATCATAAATTATGATAATCCAATTTCTTTGAATACAACAATCTATTCTAATGGAGATGAAAATGAGTTAGATCATGATAAACGTTTATTATGTATAGCACTCATTGCGAAACTTTCATCAACATATCGAGATTTAAATTCACCAAAAATAACTCTTTGTCGTCCTCGTGGTTTAATAGATGAATAAATCAATGAATTACATATGTAAAAGAAAACTATCAAGAATTAAAAAAAGGATTTTATATTGAATGTGATTTTCGTAATGATATTGAAGATCCTATATGTCGATAAGTACTTGCAAATAATGTTATTGAAAAATTACCATCATCATTAATTGAGTAAAATTCTAATGAAGAACATCGGCAATTAATTGAAAGGCTTTCACCACATATAAAACAATGGGAAGAAAGAATACATGCACTTTCTCAACAACAAAAAGAAAAGGGAGGAATGATTGTTGTTAATAAATATCAAAATATGATATTTAGTTGAATAATTTATTTTTTTATGTTATTAATTTTGTTTTCTTTTTCCTTTAAAATTTTTCAGATTGAAACTGTTTTATATGAAATAAAAGAAATTATAACATTTTTTTTCATACTTTTTAAATGAACTTTCAAATGTTTATGGTTAGATTATCGTAGTTAAATGAATCGTTATTATTTCTATGAATAATTTTATAGCGATTCATGCGATTTGTTTTGATTAGATATTTAGAGATGTATGCTATTCATGAGTGTTGCTATAATTACAATGTATTGTTCTTGATATCAAACTGTGTATATTAAAATTAACACAGATTTTAGTAATCATATGGATTTATCCTATGTTCATAGAATTGATTATATAAACAAAGTTTATGTGTAAAATGAAGATTATCCGAATAAATACATGATTCATGATTCGTACAAGTTATTTGTATGTATTTTCTATTTAATTATTAGTAAATTAAATATTGTTCTATTTGGATAATATAACACATTTTTCTATTTTATATTGGTTTCAATACAACATAATTGTCATTACAATGAAGAAAAACAAAATGTTTTATCATCAAATACTATTGATACGTCTGAAATATTCAATAACATAGAGATGCTAATGTATTGTAATGATTAATAATTTTACTATTCTTCTTGTGCTCTAAATCATATTATTCTGATCGATCGTGAGCATTAGTAATATTCAATTAATGAACTAAAACGAATTTTTTAAATTAAAAAACATGATAATTGTTTCGTCATTTTCTTTAGATATTTTAGAATAATTTGGATGTAATTATCTATCATTAGTAAAGTCTTGTTGAGAGTGTGGATGTGAGTGTGGGTGAGTGACACATATATCAAAGATCCATATCTACACCATGAAGATATAAAAGATCGATTTGTTTCCTTTTTTCTAAATACGTTGCATGGCTATTTTTTTATTATATCCCTTAAAAAATTCAACGGTAGAATTTTTTCTTGTTCTAATTTTATTAATATTATGCGTTTTTATATTTTTATTTATTTGTTTGTTTTCCTAATCATATAATTTTTTACCGTATGATTTTTCGAAATTTTTTATCTTTTAAATTCTTCTATATTAATTTTTTTAAAATGCATAGCTCGAGTGTTTTTGTATTGATAAACAACTAGTATGTAATCTGATGAAATGAAACGTGATTGCAATTGCCAATCAAAGTTAAAAACAGTAACGTTGGCGACATCTAAAATGATAATAGTGTTAAACTTGGAATTGATACCTACAATATCTTAATTTTTTTTGAATTAAGAGCTAGTTTTATTTATAGATGACACCAACATAGAGGTCTACCATATCAACACACAAATTAATGGCGTTCAGTTACAATGATCTACAAAAGATTTGTGAACGTGATCGTCATCATTTGATTGTTAACCACATTACATGCGCATATGTAGATGTCGCACACGTTCCCTTTTTTACTAGAGTCTTCACCAGACATCCGAACTTACTATTTTCAATCATTTCATATGACTAACACTTTCTGAAAATAGCAGCTTCAGAAACTCAGTTTTATCTCCAAGTGCATCAAGAGATATGCACGATGTCGATGATTGAATGAATCATCATAGTTTGAGCATATACTAAATTCAAAACGCGTTTGAATATTCAACAATGCATTTTTTCCATTATTATATTTTTTTTTACTTCAATAACAACACAATCCATTGCTGAAAAGCAAAAGTTGAGAAGAGCAGTTTGTATCTATTTATCTTCATGATAGATCGATCAGTCTTTTTTTTAAACACCCACACCCTCAAGATTCTAATAAACATGGCATGTTTTTTTGTGTACATGTTTTATTAAAATAAAAAGTTTTGAAAAAAAACAAAAGATTTAAAACTGAAAAAAGTAAGATGAATGCTTGAGTATATATGAAGAGCAAAACGAACTAAAAGATATTAGAAAAGGAAAAACCTAACTACTTTAAATGTTCGATAATGTAATAATGTTGCTTGATTGGAATATTCGAGTTTGGATGTGATGTGCGTCTGTGCCATCCATCCTAAAAAGAAAAATAGTTAGTTAGCTCCGTGTCATAAAGTGCTTCAAATGATAATCTCGAAGAAGATTGTACAAATGACGAGACAAAATATCAGAACATTGTCTCACTTAGTTATCATTAATAAACTATATTGATATAACATACCTGACTTATTTTCCAAGGCTCTGTTCAAATATTCTTCCCATTTCGAGGAAATGAT